TGTTTGTGGATAAAAGCACTGTGATGTCATTTTCAGCTGACAGCTACTTTTAAAATGGCCGTCCCCTCAGATGGATGACAATAGGTGGATTTTTGCTGCTTAATTCATATTCCACAGATGCGATATTAATCAGAATGCCGTGTTTAGACTCGTGGGTGCGCGTAAAACATATCGGAGTGAAATTTTGTGGGCTACAGTTCCCCTTTAATGAAGGCCGAAACAACAAACGGATGTACCTTCTTTACAACGCGTGTCCTCCAGACAGAAGCTGGCTTTGTGACCCTCTGCCACTTTAGTTCCATTCACATTCATCAAGTCATAGTGGGTGAACACCTCCATGCTGTGGAAATGTCTGGATATAGATAGGAAACAATTGTTTAAAAGGACCCGTGTATCAGAACTGAACAGCAGTGGATGTTTTGGCATCACCTGTGGCATTCGTGCCAAGTCCAGGATTGATGCCCTGCTCGCGGCCTGAAGTCTGTCTGGCCATTGTTGTGGATCTGCGAGGAGAAGCGCAGCAGGCGGCGGTAAGAGTTCTGGTCGGCCTTGTCGGCACTGCTGGACAGGCACTTCTCCTCCTGGGCACACTGCAGGGCATACATAGGTCTGTCCTCCAGGTAGGCGGTGTGCTCCACTTCCTGGGCGTTCAGGACCAGGTCAGGGGCCGCTGGATAGGACACACCATGAACTCAGTGGGATTGGCAATACGAGCAACGTGATTCACATACACTACATTTAGCCAGTTTTGATTGTTTGGATGTTCTAGGTAGTCAATAATAACGCATTCTTCGCTCCTTACTCAGAGTACAGGCCACCCCAGCAGCAAAGCGTCCACCACCTTTGGGACATTGAATGTGCTTCCCGTGATGCAGGCACTGATCCAGAGTCAGCTCAGTGCCTGAACATCTCACTCCACTCATCACAATATCATCAGATGTAGCGTCGCTCTGCCAGTACCAAGTTTCCTGAGGAGCACAGAAGACACCCGAAATGGATCAGCTCCGGGCAGAAATGTGTATTTGACACAGCATTAATAACTTCAACTTCATTTTGAAGACATATTGACAAGACTTTGAAAAGGAATATAGCCTCTCTGTGATGGCACGGCGAGCCCCGTTCACTTATTCTAGTGATCCATAACACTAATGGATGAAACTCACACACCGTTTTGCCTTAGCGCTG